GAACCACTAATTCTAAAGGAAAGCAAATCACCTTCTTCGCCTCAATGAAATATGTTCAAACTCTGATATACGACCTGAGAATGTTGTAGTACACCTGTGTCGTCTAAATAACGGTATAAACTCTCCTCTATTTGTTTCAGATTACACAGAAGGAAACGAGATTTATGGGACAAATAAAAATTACTATCAATATACATCTTTATGGGAGTATATCTCTAGCCTAAATACACAAATAGATTTGTATCAGTAGGTTACAGTAAAACAAAACTTATGACTTTCGGTGAATGTTAATGATACACTAGTTAACTTGAGATCCTGTTTCTCTGTTTTTGCGGCCGTTACTCATCAACTTGTTAATTATAGGTAACGAGCACGATAATCCGGTAAAGAGGCGCCGTTTCATACAATACGAGCTGCAAATTAAAGTGCAAACATTTGCGGATTCCTTCCAAACATTCGTGATCGTGACGGATAAACCCCAAACAATAACGCAAGAACACAAAACCACGATCAAATAGGTGTTTCATAGAACAGGACGCGGAAATTCCAAACCTAAAAGGATTCTTAAGGAACTGGGCAAGTAAAAGTAACTCGAGACAAAGCCAGAAGCGACAGCACAAGACCGAGCCCAAACAGAATCCGATACCCACAAAAAAGTCTAAGCACTGCGGTGGCTGGCAAACGCCGCCCTCTGTTTTAGAGTCGAACGCAAACACTCTAGAGATAGATGGACAAACAAATGTAAATGAACGAAATGTGAACGTCATGTTTGGCATTCCCATAAAGCAACGTTAACACGTCATTAAAGGTAATGATGGCGTGATTACGGAGTGGGTGCGGGTGAGCGATGGTCAGATGATTGCCCGCTTACTGTGTGGTCCTCCTTTACAAACAGACGGTACCCTTCAATCTGGAGCACGTGTCTTTGTAGATGGACTCTAAACTCTAATAGATGTTTGTGGTATTCTCTGTCCGAGAATATTATCTTTTGTGATCGATTCTGTTTTGAAAATAAACTAATTAGCTTTCTTTCTGGCAATTATCGATCTCTGGCTACCCATTCTTTGATTACTTGTGGAACTTATCTCAACCCTTCTGTAAATCAACAATGGCCATCCTGAGGCGATTGGGAGATGTTATCGGCTGTAAATAATTTATAGTCGCCTTATCGTTCGATCTGCGTAATTGATACGGGTAAGGACGATGATGGGACACCGTCTTTATCGTAAATATCATAATTCAATTTACTTTGATGATCTCCTGGTGGGATAGTGGGAAAAGGCTTGTTTATGTAAATAGGCTCTGAAGCTTTTACTAGTTTGTTAGGAACATGATTTGTTACGTATTCGCAATGTCAAAATGCGTCAGGTCGTTGGTCACTTTAGATTAGGTACTGTTTAGTACTCCACTCAAACAAAGCACATCTTTAAACTTAGCTACAGAGCTGTACAAGGCAGTTAAGTAAACGACACTAAAAACCATACAAATTCATTTGTTTGAGAGTAAGGGGAATAAATAGAGACGTAAAACTGCAGAACGCGCATAAAATGTTACGAAATCTGTTTTCTGAGTTCGCCTTCGGTGGTCCTAACAAAGCAGGACGTGAATGTGGTCGTATTGACCATAACGCGCGCCTAGGGTCTCTGGATTGCGACAAATGTGGCCAATAATAATTCGACGACATTGTAGCTAGATAGCGCATGAAGCTAGAAATAAGGGCAAGGAATTTCGAATAGCTCTATTCAAGAGCTAGGTAAGTATATTAAATTAATTCACTCATATCCATTGATGAAATTGCTATTATGAATTCAAGAATGTTTGGGACAAAAACAAAATGTCCAAAGAATTAAGATATACTCCTTCTCAGTCAGTGAAGAAACCAAAATATGCAGCAAGCATCCAGCATCAATCCTGTCACATACTCAAACAGACGCGTGCGCAAGTCAGCGCGTCAGTTAGCAAGCGGCGATTGGCTGTCCCGCCACCCAATATATCTAACCACCCACACATTGGTTTAGAAAAAGTGTTCTGCATTTGAATTTCGTAAATGGAAATTACATTTCACGTATTTTCCCCAGAATTCGCTTATTCCAAGTTACTGTCTGACCGAGAATTGAAAGCCACCACTTCCTTGACCGTGTAAGCCATTTATTTCATTATCACACCACCAGAAGGAAATAAATCAATAAATGTATAACTATGCCACTGCTGCGTAGACCGAAACACACTTCGTAATTCACTTGTTACGCTCAATAAATTTTAATTAACTGAAATTGGAAGATGACAGAAAGTTCAAACAATTACAATCCGTTGATTTACGGTGACAATGAAAATTTTAATACATCACCCAACATTCACCCACTTTGTAGAACAGCCAAGAATAACATTGTTAAGATGCGCCCATAATATGTGCTGCCTTCATCACTTATAAATTTAGAACTCTATGAAAAGCCTGGATGAAAAAAATCGATTCGATGTACAGATATATTTACTAAAGCTTATATTTACGCACAAGTCGTTTTAATTATAACGAGGGTTACTGCAATTACAGACAGCAAAAGTGCTAAAAGTTACTTTATTATTAAAACTATATTCTGTAAATAAGCTTCAGTATCTGTAGTTTAATCTCCTCCAGAGGATTGTCGATAAAATATGAAAACATCGAGTTATGATCTTTTAAGTGATGAGGACAGCACCTGGTATACGGGAGCACCATAATCAGCTCGCAACGAAGATATAGGGTTACAGAGGGTTCAGCAAAGAATAAAACTGTACTTCAATTTCCCCCAAGAGATTTTCGATAAATTACGTTTACGACAAGTTATGAATTTTTAAGTGGTGAGGACAGCACTTGGTATATTGGAGCGTCTTAATTAGCTCGATATGAAGATATAGGGTTACATGGAAGAGGAAGAATAAAAACGCAGTAAGGTCCAACGCTGTCGCACACTCGGGCCCCTTCGCTCATACATCGGACAATTAAACGCAGCGATCGTCGATATATCACCGTGCAAATTGGCAATCACCGGGCATTGATTAGCAGAAGCGAGGCCTCTCAGCGGGGCCCCTGCCCCCACCGGCAATCATGGTCTAAGCGACAGTGCCAAAAATTCGAAATTCCTTTTATAAAGGGAAAAATATTCTATAAACATAGGGAAAGCTTCTTCACTTGCATCTGGAAGAGGAAGCAGCCGAGGTTGTTAAAAATTTGGTGAAGTCTCTATAAAAACGCAGTAACACCCAGCGCTGTCGCACACGCGGGATCCTTCGCTAATACATCGGACAATTAAACGCAGCGATCGTCGATATATCACCGTGCAAATTGGCAATCACCGGGCATTGATTAGCAGAAGCGAGGCCTCTCAGCGGGGCCCCACTCCCGCCGGCCCTCCTGGACTAAGCGACAGTGCCAAAAATTCGAAATTCCTTCAATAAAGGGAAAAATATTCTTTAAAAATAGGGAAAGCTTCTTCACTTGTATCTGGGAGTCAAGAGTTGTTAGGGTTAGGTAGAGGAAGCAGCCGAGGTTGTAAAAATATTGGTGAAGTCTCTATAAAAACGCAGTAAGGTCCAGCGCTCATACATCGGACAATTAAACGCAGCGATCGTCGATATATCACCGTGCAAATTGGCAATCACCGGGCATTGATTAGCAGAAGCGAGGCCTCTCAGCGGGGCCCCTGCCCCCACCGGCAATCATGGACTAAGCGACAGTGCCAAGACAAAGTTCCAAATTCCTTTTATAAAGGAAAAATAAGCTATAAAAATAGGGCAAGCTTCTTCACTTGTATCTGGAAGTCAAGAGTTGTTAGGGTTAGGAAGAGGAAGCAGCCGAGGTTGTAAAAAATTTGGTGAAATCTGTATAAAAACACAGTAAGACCCAGCGCTGTCGCACACTCGGGACCCTTCGCTCATACATCGGACAATTAAACGCAGCGTTCGTCGATATATCACCGCGCAAATTGGCAATCACCGGGCATTGATTAGCAGAAGCGAGGCCTCTCAGCGAGGCCCCTGCACCCACCGGCAATCATGGTCTAAGCGACAGTGCCAAGACAAAATTCCAAATTTCTTATGTATAGAAAATAAATGTGTCGTAAGAAGCGACTAAGGGATTTGGGAGTTAATGTGTATTGCAATTTTAAGCGACAGGCTGACATTCTATCACTATAATGAGACATCGGACAATTAAACGCAGCGATCGCCGATATATCACCGTGCAAATTGGCAATCACCGGGCATTGATTAGCAGAAGCGAGGCCTCTCAGCGGGGCTTCTGCCCCCACCAGCAATCATGGACTAAGCGACAGTGCCAAGACAATATTCCAAATTCCTTTTGAAAAAAGGGAAAGCTTTTTCACATATATTATGTGGAAGTTAACAGTTGTTAGGGTTAGGAAGAGGAAGCAGCCGAGGTTGTAAAAAATTTGGTGAAGTCTCTATAAAAACGCAGTAAGGACCAAGGCTGTCGTACGCTCGGGACTCTTCGCTCATACATCGGACAATTAAACGCAGCGACCGTCGATATATCACCGTGCGAATTGGCAATCACCGGGCATTGATTAGCAGAAGCGAGGCCTCTCAGCGGGGCCTCTGCCCCCACCGGCAATCATGGTCTAAGCGACAGTGCCAAGCAAGACTAAATTCCAAACACCTTTTGTTAAGAAAAGGAATAATATTTTTCCTAATCCGGGCTTGGTAAGGCTTATTGTTACTTCGGTCTTTTTTTTTCTAGTGGGACAACGAGTCGTCCACCGACCCAATGAACCCCGTGTTAAGAGTTTTTTCAACCTCTTATTACAAGTATCAGGCCTCTCACATGGTTGGGTAACGACTGCCGCCTTTGTAATCATAGACAGAAACCGGAACCAACGGCTTAACGTGCCCTCCGAAGCACGGAACCATCTTGCTTTCGGACAATCAGGTGATACAGCCTGCAATGTCCTAACTAGACTGGAAACAAATTTACAACAAAAATTATAAATATCAACTTTGTGAAGTGACCCGCCGGGAATAGAACCCGGAACCTTCTGCGTCTCAGGCAGACGCACTACCACTGCGCCACGTCGGCGGAGTTACTTCGGCCAGAGTCTTGCAGTCAAGAATTGTTGGGGTTAAGTAGAAGAGGAAGTAAGCTGGGCTCGCAAAAATTTTGGTGAAGGCTCTTGATTTTGCATCTACAATTCAACGCAGACAGACCAGGTTTTAGCAAGACACTAGCCTAGCAACAAATCTACGTGTTTATTTAAGTAAAAAACTATTTTCTGATACAAATTGATAGATTTTATTTAAAAAACCTTTTGTGCAATGTCGGCGGCTTACTGCTCCTCAACGCAAGTGTCTGTGAAATTTGGGCACTATCTCCTAACTTAACCGCCCTCCATCAGGCGCCACACAAGTAATCCCACTAATTAAATACCGAGCCTAATAATCATATATTAATCGACCGGACGGAATGACACTCCTACATTATACGCTAACAATGACTAATAATCATCTCCGAGTCTCAAACCAGCCAAATAAATGAGCTCATAATGTAACATGGCAATAATATCTGGCAGGGCGTTGCCATCACGATTATCGTGTCCAGAAATCTGCAATGACATCACCATAATGATTCTATAGGTGGAAAAAATTACAATAAACAGAAACGATACGATGACAACACTACATCAACAATTAATAGACGCAATCCTCGCGTCACGAATGCCGAAAAACATTCTGTTTGTATCAGAAATTAACGCCCCAAAAATGCATAGGTCACAAAAACATTGTTTCCAAAGAGCTATCATAAGATCAAACAGTTCGCTAAATGGGCGACCATTAACACTACCCACCGGTTCACGACGAAATCGATATGATGCTAATCGACTCGCCGACCAACTCGGTTTTAGCACATCGATACTAATTACCAATTACCCCGCGCCGATAAAGACATTTGCCGAGACAAACATCTAAAATCCGGTTAATTCTCAAATAGAAATAAATAATCAAACTGAGGTATCAAATAACGGTATTACTGATAAACTGCTTGCAGACGAAAGTTCGTAGGTAAATGCATTGCAAGTACAGTGCCTTACAAACAGATGGTTTCCGAGCTACCCCACCGGCAGACGGCTGGCGGTTGACGCCACGCGACGCGGAAGCCAGACAGCGGATAAATTATTGCTCTCCCTTCGCCTAAACACAAAAGACAAGTCAGAACTTTTTTCCAAAGTTCTGCGTATAATTGAGGTGTAATTTTGCGTACAATTCCAAACAATTGTGCGGTCCAGGCGAACGGCGCACCGGTGCAACGCGACCTCCCGACGGAACGGACAAAAGGAATAAAAATAGATTAGAAAGTCCCATTGTTGATGCGCCTTGTAATGATCATGATTTACGTCAATCTAGGCACCGGGTCCTAACATAAATTAAGCCGTAAGAACCCAATATTGATGGTAACGCCAGCCTCCTTTACGCTTTTAGGTAGGTAGTTAACAAAAGGCTTGAAATATTCCGAAAGATACCGTTACCGAGAAGAATGAGCCGCGTCTCCGTAGACGCTGCATCGGGTACTTTATTAATTACGGTATCCTTTCTAACGATAATGAATATTCAACATGATAATTCCAAATCCGAATAGGTAATAGTTTAAAAAGGTCCGTTGAGGTTTTAGTTCCAATTTTTACGAGCTGGTAACGTTATATCATTAGTCGTATGTCGATAATGCGACGGATTGGAGTTGTCGGCTCAATAAAATGAGCGGGCGATATGGAGTGACATTACAGGAACGTATTCCCAAGCCTGCCATCGGTTTATGACTTTTTTATTCGTCCTGATGGCCAGAAATGCAACGCCACTCCCGATTCTGATGTCCACGGCCGATACTGAAGTGCGCTATAAAATGAGTATCAAAATGAATAGTTTTGGGATCAATCACAGCGCAATAAACTCAATCACATTGTCGAAATACCAAACAAAGTGACAAGATAAATCAAAATTAAACTTACATAGTTGACATAAAATAAAACAATTCGAGATCTACCCGACTCTACCAATGTGAACTATAAAAGGACAAAAATTGGAATTCGAGTGTGTAACTGATACTTTACAATAATCATGCCTTGTTATGGCAACTTGTCATAATAACAAATATGAAAGGCAATACCTGACATAGTTCAGGATAAGATTCCGAGGAATATCTACATTATTCTTTGACACATTCCAAGGACCACACATGACATTACACGAAGAAACAGCCGATATCGATTGCGTTCTTCACGTATAAAATCGATTAAAGGGGCAAGATATCGTACAATCTACTCAATCGCATTAAATCGTCGATTCTAATGACTATTCACACCTGTTAGTGAGGAGTCAAAAGTACCGTATCCTCATTACAAGATATCATTTACTGAATTGGGAGGTCCAGTGTTAAACTCCCATCTGAGACGGTATGAATAAAAATAAAAATCTCTCCCGCACACGTTAAAGGGAAAATAACAATGTCATTTCTCAGCACATAGCTTTAAACGGTTTAAAGCAAACAAAAATATTGCAAGTACGACGTAATGTCCGTCGTTTGTAACTTTATAAGACGTCTCCGTGTGTGTGCATAATGAAAACATAAGCGTTTGTCAAAGTCGTTGGACCAATTGTGCTGTGCGCGAGCGCTCGAGGTGATATCGTAAAAGTGTATTGCGAGAAAATATTGTTATTGCACCGAAGAATGTTTAGACGATTGATACGTACGTACTTGTAGCATCTGCAAAACGCATTCGACTCAAGAAAGTCCAAACATTGCCATCAGTAATGATGATGATGCTGACAACGTAACGATTTACTTATTGACACATTTGCTGCATCTTCAACAAGTAGATTTCTGTGTCATGCCAAGCTCAAAAGAAGCGACGCTTTGCCGTCGCGCTTATAAAAAATTCAAACAATCTGTACCACTTCCCATTAGGAACCATACAAGATGCAAAAAGCCATCTGCCACCTGGTTGAAAAGCGAACGCCCTCGTAGCTGTCACTATTCATCATAATTACAACAAAACCCAACAAAAACTGCGACTAAATGCTCCATTGACTCGGCTACAGCTTTATACTTGCCGATGTCACAAACTACGATAAATTCCTCTTAATTTGGATTAGAAAATGGACAATTTACAATGAAGGAATATGAAGCATGGAGGAAGGCACATTCTTAACGCGAAGCAATGAGAAACTAATCTTCGGCACTGAATCACCCTAACGAAACAGTTGTATGGCCGCGACTGGCATCAAATTACACCTACCGATTGCCATTAAGGTAATATCCCTTTATAATTCAAAATGAACAAAACTATCCAAATTTATGACCAGGTCCCGTTGAATAAAGGAACGGTATCAAAGCGCCACGGATGCCGAATAAAGGACTATTTTCAAAGAAAAAACTCAAAAGATGTAGAGATAAAGAGAATCAACTATTCATAGCGGAGTATGAGGCACCCGCTGTTTTATCAAATACGGGATTAGTGTTGGGAGTCGGAACTGTAGCCTTTGTACGAGCACAAATATTTTGACACGCCGCTGAGCAAATAGAAGGGCAGATTTACCAGATTAAGGTCATCCTTTTATGGCCCAATTGCGCCCTAAGTGGCCCTAATCTTGGTTGTTTTATAGTCCCAAATAATTTAAAGGATTATAAAAAGATGAGAATTAATTTTAGGGGTTAATGCTCTTGGAGATATGTTGCGTAACAATTAAACAAGATCTAAGATCCTTTTAGTTAATAGTAGGTATGACTCTGAACGATTAAACGAACAGCATTGATTTAGTCAGTGACGTTTTTAATATAGGCTGGTGTATAAAAGTAGGCAAGGTATCGGGCGCTGAAAATCAGTTCGGGAAATAATATGCAAAAATGGTATTAATTAAAATAAAAGGAAAATTAATAGTGCAGACCAACACATTACAGACGTTACTGTGGCTAAACTAATGTGTACCTACTTGTAAGCTGCGAGTTTCCCTCCATTGCACAACTAGGTACCTCGATTAAGCTAAGCAGCGTAGTGTTGACCGAAACAATAAAGAGCGGAACATACTAAGTTTCCACAAACACATCGTTTGTATACTTCAATTCACAGTGGAGACTCTATAGTGCTTACTGCAAATAAACTGCTTCATGTACCGTGTCAAGACCAAGACTAAACCTTAATTGCCGTCTGAAGAGCACCTAAGCGAACTACTTAAGGGCATACGTAGGCTTGACGTTAGGAAAATTTATGTAGCGATTATATTATGTTTGAACATTTTAGGAAAACTTGCAAAATTTTTACCGCAGGCTGGATTTGAACCGGCGACCTTCGCCATCTGTACTGGCGACGCCTCTACCAACTGGGCTACAGCGGCTCACTCCAAGCCCGCGAATGAAGCAAGTGCATTTTGACCAGTGGCTATATGATGATAATTATGATGATCTACGCCTTATTTACAACTTTTGAAGAGGAAGCCAACATTATGTAAAACAGGTTTAAATCCGTTGTATAAGCTTCCTTCTTTCACTACGTAATCTAAATCTGTTAATAAAGTCAACCAAGATTAATACGCATATCTCAGTAGTTGTGGTTAATCTATTTTATATCATAGAGGTCTAATCTGGAGCAAGTAATCTAATCACATTTTCCAAGTAAACACTATCCTTCTACTTTCTAGATTTCCATCATCAAATATTCACACGGTGCACACCAGGTTACTAACCAACTTAAAACGCCTATTGCATTTACCCCGCTGACAGTGCCCGATTCGTTATAGATTTCTGGTAATCTCGAGTTCATTGTAATGAAATGAGTAGGTAATGAACTAATGACGCCCATATTCTATTCTATTTCTATTTCAGCCTATTGCAGTCCACTGCTGGACGTAGGCCTCCCCCAGGGAACGCCATAAGGCACGCTTTCAGTTCAAGCTTCACTAACAGCCTATCATGGCTATGTATCTTCGGTACTTGGTTACGGTTTGATACTTTGGGGTAACTCGGTGGACGTGGACAGAGCGTTTAAGGTGCAAAAAAAGTGTGTAAGGGTTATCTGTGATGCTTGTTAT